GAACTATTATTTTTAGGATTCAATATTAAAATCTCCAAAGACCAACAGTTCACTTTTTGGGTTTTGAGCTATATAAAGTACTCTTTTGCTAAATATTATGCTATTCTGTCTCGTTACAGGCAAGAGGATTTGCCCTGGAGAAAGTCTGGGTCGGATGGAATTGTTCCTGTTCTTTACAACCATTCTTCAAAACTTCAAGCTGACTTCAGAAACTCAGTTTACTGACGCTGACCTCATTCCAAAGCTGTGCGGGTTTTTAAATTCCCCCATCCACTACGAACTCTCATTTATTCAGCGTTCTTTTAAATTTACTTCATAAAAATATAAAAGATGCATAAAAAGTTATAACTCTAAACATAATTCTCAGATAACAAAACAATCAAAACTTGTAAGCAGTGTCCCCATGTTTCAATAACATATGATACAAAAAAACAAGTGTTGGAGCATAGTGTTAATATATCCTTAATATTAAAATATTATAATAATTAAATAATAAAATGCCACAATAACAAACCTTACCAGGTGTCCTTCAACTGTTAATACTGTTAAAAAAAAAAAAAGTACAGAAATCCAAATTGTGAATGAAAGGTGTTTGTATTATCCAATATCCTCTCTCTCATCCATTCTCTGCTGCACACAGAGGGGTGGAGAGAGAGAGGGAATGGCTGTCCTAGGTAAACGAGCCTATGTGCACAGATACACTGGAAGGGGGATGAACTGAGTGTTCATTGACTTTAGATTGGTGAATACTCCACAGACATTCAGGACATTTCAATTTAACCATGATCACTTTACAGCCACAAACAGCGGATGATGAGGAAACCATAAGAGTACACACACACACTGTAATGGACTGTTTTGCACACAAGAGGTTAAAAACCGTTTAGGTGATATTCCCCTTTTCAGATGCACAGACAGCTACTGCAATCACCAATCTCCCGAACTGCAAACACACAAATTCACCAATCTCCCGAACTGCAAACACATGAATTCACCAATCTCCCGAACTGGAACCAGGGGAATGCTCCAAACTCCCGAACAGGAAACACACGAATGCTGTAAAAAGCCGAACAGGAAAAATCATACGAACAGTTTACACTCCTGGCAGTCGCACTGTAACAGCATACAATCCAATTCCCCCCAAGAACAAGAAGACACTTCGTTTGAGGGTCAAGCATAACTGATTTACTGGGGCTACCTGCCCGGCTTTTATGCAGGTTTCCAACCTGGTGGACACTCCCCTAGGGGACCAGATGGAAGACTGGGACACAAAGGGTAAAAGGACCAATCACAAGCTTACACATTTCCACAATCCCACAATGCATCACAATCCCTCCTCTCTGTCCTGGAGATAATTGGGAAGTAATCCAATTATCTCCAAGGACAGAGGCAAAACTCCATTAAACACATGGCAGACAAAGGACAATAAAAGACATATAATTACATACTGTTACATTCATCACATAGAACATACACATTCTACCTACCCCCAGATAGCTTAGATCTGAGCGCACATTATTACCGGATGGCGCTCAAATCACATGCATACAGTTCAATCGCCATGGAGCCAAAGTCTTTCACATAGTCTTTCGGTATACGAATGGGCTCCATGGCTTAGCTATCTGGGGTAACACTGCTCACATAGGGAAAATAAAAGGTTTTTAATGCAGGGCCATAGTCCAGCTGCAAGAGGTGGGCATCCAGGCTCCTCCAGTGGCTAGTGGCAAGGCTGGTTCCGCCACACACACTAAATTCAGGACTGGATAATGCAAAGCCCTTTCATTCACAATTTGGCCTGTTATACGGTATTGTAACAGTATTTATTATCACTTGAAGGACTTTGATATTGGGGGTATATCCACTAAGCACTGACAATTGTTTCTTGGTATCTCTCTGAGACTGCTCAGTTTTTTCTAAACTGGAATGTATGATCCTTTGTGGCAACATTTGATGTCTCTGTGAGATTTGGACCCCCAATGTCTCTAAAGAAGTCAATCATCACATTAATATAAATATTTGATATAGAAATACATTGGTGATCTGTTAAAGATTTAGCATTGTTTGAGTTCATGAAACAGCCTTTTAGCACGGGATATGGAGATGACTGATATTGTTGTAGAGTTAGCTTCAGACCAGAATAAGCCTTAATAGGACCTTAGACAGCTGCCTAGACCCCAGGGATCCCAGAGCCATTTTCTTTATTTTGATGTTCAAGTTACTTAGAAGATAAAAAAACAAAACAAACACCAAGCCCTTAGTAAAACTTATTTTAACAACATACTTTTCTACCCTAGCCTTACATTCTGTGTCACTGTATTCCACTCCCTTTAGAATATAAGCTCATTGAGCAGGGCCCTCAGCCCCCTCTGTTCCTGTGCGTCCAACTTGTCTGGTCACAAATACGTATCTGTTAGTTCACCTATTGTACGGAGCTGTGAAATTTGATGGCACCGTCTAAATATAAATAATAATAATAATAATAATAATAATAATAATAAGTACCTAACTTGGTTTCCTTCAAAATAGTAATCCCACATAAGAATACCAAATAAGAGAGCTATCTACTAAACAGCTAAAGGGTCAAAATTAGAAGACTAAAAAAGCCACTTTATTAATCACTAAAATGTTAAAAAAATTTGTTGTCAGGAACACTGCTGGAGGCATGTAAGCTATTGTTACTTTGGCTGGATGTTGAAAAAAGCAACAGAAAGCTTTGATCATTATCACATTGTTATCAAGATGGCCCCTAGTTGTGAAACCAGTCCAAAACACAGAATGTTCTATACAATATTGCTGTTAACATTTTGCATATCAATGTCTTACAATATAAGATGGCTCTTAGTTCCTGGAGGTTTGAGTGGAGAGTCCATTCTGTTTGATTTCAGGTGCCTTGAATCAATGTTGTATCTGTGTGTGCTCCCCAGCCTGGCAGGCTGGCATCGGTAGTAATGGTTTGTCAGAGTGGTTTCTTTAGGGGAAATTCTCTGAGTAGATTACACAATTTTAATTTTCCACTAGAAGAGGAATACAAATAGGCTGATCCCAATTGGATTTCTTGATTTGAACTGATTCAGAAAGTTCTTCTGAATCAGTCTGGCGTTCCAGTGGGACCAAGGAACAAGACCGATCGTGGATGTCAGGGACCACAGCAGACTTGTAGATTATGGCCGAAACTGCTGATTCTTGAAGGATTTGAAAAATGTCCTGCTTCATTTTCATAGTTCTTTCTAGAGATAGGTTGATCTTTAAGTCTATGGTATCTACCAAGACCTCCAAGAACATCATTTGCTTTAAAGGGGTTAAGAAGCTCTTTTCCTTGTTGATCATCCAACTGTGTTTTTGAAGGCACAACAAGGCTTGATTGGTGTGGGATACAGTTTTCGTGAAAGTGGGGGTGTTAATCGGAATGTTATTCAGTTAATGAAAAATTGAAGCGCTAGACTTAGGCTTAATGGAAGACCTCTGAACTGAAAGGGTCTTTTAAGGTTCAATAAGCAGAGAAACAAGAATCATTAAGTGATGTTTGTGAATAGGAATCTGATAATAAGCATCCCTCAAGTCTATCGATGTTAACCAGTCTCCATGGCTGATAAAGATAATAGTGGCGATGGATTCCATCTTGAAAGACAGATCCTTTGGATGAGTGTTTAGTTCCTTTAGATCAATTATGAGTCTCCTATTGTCATTGGACTTTGGAGCCAGGAATACATTGGAATATAGACCTCTGAATTTTTATAGAGGAGGAATTTCTTCTATGACTCCCAGTGGAAGAAAATTGGTTATGTTTCCTGATATGACCTGTCCTTTTCCTACTAGAGGAACCAAAGACTTCTTGAAAACATTGATTCTTGGGAAAATCTCAAAATCTATCTTGTATCCTTCGACAGGACCCGGGAGTCTGAAATATCTTTGGACCAGACTGGATAGAAGTGCAGGAGTCTTCCTCCTATGAAATCTTACTGGGCCGGCACACCTTCAGAAGTTTTTTTGTAGAATTGCAAGATCCCCTTCCTCTATTGGTTTTAATATTTGAGGAAGAAGACTTAGAGTTGCTACAAGATGAATTACTTAAGAATTATTTTCCAGGACCGTAGGTTCTATTTTCTCAAAAGGATCGATCACAAAATCTCTTGTCTCTCCAAGATGACAAGTAAGATCCTCTTTTACCTTGAGGAAGAAATGTTTTCTTGCTGTCAGCAGATTCATCCAAGACTTTTCTGAAAAGAAGGTCATCCTGAAAAGACAAGGAGCATAGGGAAGCTTTAGACGCATAATATGCTCCACATGAATGACGCCAAAGAGCTCTTCTATAGGCTACAGAAAATCCCATGTTCTTAGCAACATCCCTGTTATATCCAAAGCTGTCAGCTACCTGAATACCATAGCTAACTTAAAATCTCTGAGGTTATCAGTAGGTTGTTCTCTTCTTACTCCTCTTCCAGGTAGGTTGTCCAATCAGACTTTAACTCTGGATAGAGTTGTTAGGGCAATGCCAGGTGAAGAGCTGAACCTAGGGACAAATATGCCTTGATTAGACTGGCAACCAGTCTTTTCTCCATAGGGTCTCTCCAATATGCCATGGAGTCTATGGGAAGAGTGGAGATTTTGGCTATCTTAATGATTGCTGTGTCTATTTTTTGTTGGTAGATGTTCAGGATTTACAGTCTTTGATAGCAAAGGGATGAATCATCGAAGTCTTATTCTTTAATGTGGATTTTTGTGGATTTTTCTCCGGTTTTCCCAATTCTTCATAAATCATATCTATAATAGTTGGATGTACTGGAAAGGGGGACTTTGATGATTAAGGATTGGTTAGGTTTCATATTTTTTTATCTCTGTTCTGATATCTGAGTGTCTCCGATAAGGAAGATTTATTTCTCTATGGGCTTTATCCATTAATTTTAGTTCTTCTTTGAGGGAAATTCTTATTGGATTCCACTACTTCCATCATGCAGTTAATGCACAAAGTTCACTCCTCCGGTGCAATTTTACTGCAGCCCAAACAGCAGCTGGATCCATCCTTAAACCTCCTCAGTGATCTTTCCCAGCTCATGCTTGGGCTTTAAAACAAGGCTATAAATACATAAAATGATGGGACCAGTTGGCACTCTTTTAATCCCCAAGATTTAAATTAGCATTAACTCTTAAATTAAATTAACATTAAATTAGCATTAATACTATCCTTACCTTTTTGTGTCATTTTACCCCACTCCCTCTAGCATGTGAGCTCATTGAGCAGGGCCCTCAACCCCTCTGTTCCTGTGTGTCCAACTTGTCTGGTTACAACTACATGTCTGTTCGTCCACCCATTGTAAAGCGCTGCGGAATTTGACGGCGCTCTATAAATATCATAATAATGATAATAATAATAACTCATTTTTATTTTATTTTTTAAACTCAAGTGGTAAGAGGCAGAGGGAGAAGCCATAAAAACAAGTAGAATAATGAAAACAAAGCAGATTAAGTTTATGGATAAGATACATTTGCTTAAATGTACATGAGAGGAGGAAAAAGACTGGTGAAAATACCTCAGTTCCTCCAGGAAAGGGAATTGGCAGCAGTCCCAGAACAAATTCTAAATTAGAAACAGAAAAAGACTTTCAGCGAGCTTGTCACTTTAAGAGTCACTTTTGAAACTGTTACCACTTTAAGGACATAGTGGCGCGTGCCCCCTTTAAGGGAGACGGGAGGCTGTGGATGTGCTGTGTATTAGGCTAAGGCCAGGAGCTTTGTGATAAATTCCACTACGGCAGCAAATAAAAGGCACCAAATTTGCCCGATGCAAGCATAGGAGGACCAGGAACATCGAAAACACAGAGGAATACTCACCTCTGGCGGCAAAACGTTGCGGAAGATGGCAACACCATACTTGCGTCAGCATCCCTCTGAAAATCTCTGGACAGCATTAAGGAGCACAAAAAAGACAGGAAGGAAGGAGAACTAAAAATTTAGAAATATACAAAGGTGTAGAAATAGACAGAAGGGGAAGGAAATAAAGGAAATTTATAACAGCTATCCCTGCTGCCTCAAAAGGAATATTATTGAGGAAAAAAAGTATAAGCTAATATGGAGCTATGTAAGTCCTCTGCAAGGAGCACATAATGGTTTCTGTGCTGTCCTAATCCGACTGAGGCGAAGGTAACCCATAAGTGATGCAGCCATGATAAATAGCCAGGAAAAACACTCAAAGGATAATAAAAATATATTTAAGTGATTTTTTTTTCATTAGGGGGATATAGAGCTTTTATTATCATTTATTGCAAATATTCAAAATGTCATATTATCTTTCTTTTAATGCTATGCTGTCTATCTTTACGATGCTCACATTTACTTATAAAATATATAATATATATATATATATATATATATATATATATATATATTGGGGCTATCTTAATGTGTTTATATAAAGTTTTATCTACAGATGTAATACTTTCCGCATACATCTACACAATTTAGTGAAACCAACAGTGATTAATTTTTATTGAAATTCTATAGTATGGAGTTTAAATAATCATAACGTATTTTCTCTTTATAGTTCATATTGAATGGTGTTATATAATCCAGCATTATATATGTATACACTCTTTTATAATTTGTTGTTTTCAAGATATGCAGTTAAAATAAAGGACTTATTTAGTAATATTTTATGTAACAGCACTTCCCTCATTGCCAATTTATTTTATTTCTTTTTAAGTAATTTTTTCTTCCGGTTCTCAATAACTGGGCTTCCTCCAGTATGTTCTCCTCTGCCCATGACGTCTGCTGTTTGCCTTGGTGAATTAAAAAAAAAAAAAATATGAAACCGAAGAAAAATAGCGAAAACAAAATGATTAATTTAGAAAGCAAATCCTGCAAAGTGACAGAGACGCTTTAACAAAATTCATACAATACCGATTTCTGAAAGAAATTCTATTCAATATATTCTTAACATAAATCATATTAGAACAAAAATCTCCTCTTGGGAGAGTGTGTGTTACATAAAAGGAATTTGTGCTGGAATCTGTGTATAGCAGCTCTAAACACTAATGTGAATTACCCTTTATTCCCCATGCAATTAATACAGAAGGTGGGTTTGGTATATAGTTAACATATACCTTAAGTGGAGCGCTATGGGTGTTGAGGGGTTGTCTTATAAAATCTTGCTTGAATCGTATATGTCAAGTACAGATAGGAAAGATATAAAAATAAACAATATAGTGCAGATTGTCAAACACTGTGTGGATTAAGTGAGGTAAGGAATGGGTCACTCACATTTTAAAGAGCCTTTATTTTTAGCTCTGTAAATAAGACTGGTATGCCTTTAGGGCAGCATCCCACCACTGTTTCTTGCTGGAAGTTTTCCTCTGGAAAGACATCCAATGTGTAGTATAGTTATAGAGGTATTATAGATAAATATGAATAGGTATTGAGCTCACCTTTTGTCAGAGCCTTAAGGCTCTGAGGGTGGTATGCTTTGTGCCACTCTAGGGGAGATGGCACTTCCCCCAATGAAGGTACCTGAGGTTTCAATAGACTTAGTATAAAATCTAATTTATTAATACATACGGTATTTGAAATGAATAAAATAAACTTAGTATTTAAATTCTGAAGTCCTGATAGCCAATACGCGTTTCACTCCTCCTGGAGCCTCAGTCAGCTGTAGCTTGATCCTCTGTACCTTCTGCATTTTAAATGTCTCTTGGGTCCTCCCTTGAGTTCACATTTGGAGTTAAATTTTCTAATTAACCAATCCTTTGTGTTCTTAGTTCTTAGTCCCACCTATAATTATAATCACCTGGAATTCCCTTATTTTGATTGGTGAAAGGGGGTTCATCATATGATTTCAAATTCCATTGGTAGTTAAATGGTTGGCGGAAATGTCCGCCAAGTGTCTTATGGTTGGCATAAATCATATTGCTTTTTTTTTAAAAGAACAATACTTTGCAAAGCAGAGACCATCCTTCATAAAAACATAAACAAAAACAAAACAATGTATATTCTGCACGTACAGGAAAACAGGACTACATGACACAATTTGGGCAAATAATCACTATGTCATGTACATTCTAATCCAGTGCAATGTACTGGCATTCCACAATATGAGGCCATTCAGCCAACCATAGTATGCCAGGCAAATGCACATGGGTATAATCAGGTAACTATGTCATACCTGACCAATAAACATGGATTTACTCAGCCAACAATACTATACTAGATCAATACACATGGATTTATTCAACCAAACCTAGCATGCCAGACTGGTGCACGCTCTACAATCAGTTCACCATAACATGCCAAAAAATGTACATGGGTACAGTCAGAGCACCTGAGCGTCCTAAGCAGGTAACTCAGGTACATTCACTTGAGGTCACACTCAATGGAACAATCAATCACACAGTGATTTTAAGAAATATAGAATTATGTATTATTATTTAAAAAAATTACTTGATATTATATGTATTAACATGATACACCAGTCTAAAAACATGGACACCCACTGGAAGATTTCTTCTATTAATACGGCAGTCTGTGTCTGTTTGATGATGGCAATTTTTCATCTGTACATTGCTTCAATTTGACAGTTAATTATAAAATAATGTAATTTAGGAATTTAATAATCCTGATTTTTTATGTCTTTTATATATATATTTAAAAAAACAAAATCTTTCAACATTGAAGTTGCTGTTTAGTGGATAGGTGAGTGCGCTGGATCTTGTGTATTGTATTATTTGGCCCCCAGCAGCACCCCCATTTATGCATGTTAAGGTGAGTGCAGCCAACCCCCTCTTGTTTTATATATATATTTGGGAGTCTAGCCAACTCTTGGTTTTGCACCCCTCCCTGTCACAGGTGCCTCATCCCAGGGCCCTATTTAGCCTTGTACTGCAGAGAGCCCCAGATGGAATTTCTTTCCCCAAGTAGGTTAATCTCATAAGAGCAGACATTAGGCTGTTAGTGTAGGACCTGCCAAAGATGGGGTACATTGACGTTGTGGCAGGCTTATGCAATGTATGATCATATAATGTAACTAAACCCCATTATTTTTGCCTAGATTAGGTGTTTTTAAAAAAACAAATAAAATCTTTCAACATTGAAGTTGCTGTTTAGTGGATAGGTGAGTGCGCTGGATCTTGTGTATTGTATTATTTGGCCCCCAGCAGCACCCCCATTTATGCATGTTAAGGTGAGTGCAGCCAACCCCCTCTTGTTTTATATATATTTGGGAGTCTAGCCAACTCCTTGGTTTTGCACCCCTCCCTGTCACAGGTGCCTCATCCCAGGGCCCTATTTAGCCTTGTACTGCAGAGAGCCCCAGATGGAATTTCTTTCCCCAAGTAGGTTAATCTCATAAGAGCAGACATTAGGCTGTTAGTGTAGGACCTGCCAAAGATGGGGTACATTGACGTTGTGGCAGGCTTATGCACTGTATGATCATATAATGTAACTAAACCCCCATTATTTTTGCCTAGATTAGGTGTTTTTAAAAAAACAAATAAAATCTTTCAACATTGAAGTTGCTGTTTAGTGGATAGGTGAGTGCGCTGGATCTTGTGTATTGTATTATTTGGCCCCCAGCAGCACCCCCATTTATGCATGTTAAGGTGAGTGCAGCCAACCCCCTCTTGTTTTATATATATATATATATATATATATATATATATAGATGTATATCACAACGTAATACCACTCTCCCTGCAGTCTAACAGGCAGGGCTGTGGTGCCCTCCCTAGGCTGTCTCCAACAGAACTTTAAATTGCTAATAGTATTTTATGTTTGTCTGGCTGAAATGTAATGAAGGGCAATAATAAAATAATGAAAGCAAAAAGAAGACTAGGATTTTTTTTATCTACGAAACTCAAGTACACATCCGTGTTGTTGTCCTGCCAAACAGGTAATGGTAAGGAATTAGTATCTAGGCTAAAAGGTATTTGTTTGTGAGGATGGGTAATTACTAGATTTGTGCAACTCCTGGGTCGTCTGAATTTAATAACTTTAAAACGACATATGGACGAATCACAAACGGACAATTGACGAACAATGAGTAAACGTTCTGTCCTTGATGCCAAAAAAAGATGATTGATGGAAAAAAGATAAGTGATGGCTAGAGGACAGACACTAAATGTTGATTTTATTCACAAATCAAGTGAGAAGTCACCAATAGAAGGAAAAAAAGAGTGAGCAGCAAAAATATCTAGATTTATGTATTATACATTCAATAAAATGAGGTATGTTGCAGACTTATCTAATGTATGATCATATACTGCAACAAAATCCCCATTATTCTTGCCTAAGTCCGTATTTTTTAAAACTATTATATTTTGTGAGAAATGAAGCTGGTGTTTAGTGTGTAGGTTAGTATACTGTATTTT